GGGAAGTTGATCAATTTTCCCATGTTTTATTAATGGAAAGTATAGGACCCATCAAAAAATTGACCAATTTTCCCATATTTTTTAATGAAAAATGTAGGGCCCACCAAAAAAATGAACTTTCCCACTAGTAAATTTTTGGTAAAGGGTAAGTTTTCCCTTGCTCCTAGGTGAGTAAATCACCCACCCATGGAGGAGAAAAATTGGCCAAATTATGTAAGACTAAATGCCCCCATAGCACACAAAAGTTGGGATCTTGTGGGAACATTTTTTTAGGCAAAAAACATGGATAAATGTTTCACCTGGATAACATTTCCTCAAATAAATATATTTATCAGAATAAATAACTTCCCAGAAAACAACGCCTATTTATAAACAGCCCCTTGAATTGAATTCCAATCAGGGAACTAGCTAGTAATTGATAACAAGAACCAATTCAATACGGTTGGCCTAGGTTAGTGGGTTAAACTCACAAGTTACAACCCATGGACATTCTCAGGGGTATCAAACTAAAATATATATATTGAAACAAAGCGGTCAAGAAATTTTCTCCTTTCCCAATAACTTAAATAATCGCTTCTCATAAAATTTATCCTAAATTACCTCCCCCACTTTCTCCAGAATTATATGCAATTCCTATTTATCTTCTAAATTATCTCTAATTCCTATTTATCCTCTCCCCTACTTTTTATCTATATCTATCTAGAGAAAGTTTGGATTAAAAAATTTAAGAATTATTTAAATATTCTAACAAAATTATATAATAACTTTAAAATATATATTAAAAACACAAAAAATAATTTGATATTTTTACAAAATATATCATTAAATTATGTACTAACAATTTAACTTATGTTTTTCCGAATTATCAATTTAAATGCTTTTCAAATAAAATTTATTTTATTTAAAATAATTATGCTTTTCAAATATATTTTATTTAAAATAATTTAAAATCTATTTATGCTTTTCAAATAAAATTCAAATAACAAAAATTTTAAAATAACGAAATTATGTAATAAATTTAAAAAATATCTTTAAAGCATAAAAATAAATATAACATAGAATTGAAATTAATAATAATTTAATATATTAAAAAATTAATGATGAAATTATGTAATAATAGTATAAATTATGATTTTATGGATAATTAAAGTCTATAAATAACTAATATTTTAAAATTTAAATATTTTACATATCATTTAAGTATTTAAATAACTGGGTATTTTAAATAACAAAATATTTAACATAAATAGATTTTAAATAGTTAAAATAAAGAAAGTATGTAATAAATTTAAAAACTTTCTGAAAATTAGAAAATAATTATAACATAATATTGAAATTAATAATAATTTAATATTTTTATATAATATTGTAAATAACTAGTTTCACTAATATCAAGTAATAATTCAAGAAAATAAATTTCAAAAAAATTAACATTTATTAATAACAATTTTAAACTCTTAATTTGTATTTATTATATAGTAATATATACTAAAATTAGTACTTATTATATTTTTGTAATTATTTATTGTTTTTGTGATAAATGTATTTTCAATGACTATGTATAAATTTATTTTGCTTTGTTATTTAATAGAAAACTTTCAATAATTATTAGAGATTAAACTAATATTAGTGAAATTTTTAAGTTTAATTTATTGTACTTATTGTATTTTTTTTATAACATATTGATTAATATTTATTAGAGATTAAACTATTATTTGAGATTATACTATTTATTGACTAAATTAATATATTTTTTATACTTATTGTATTTTTTCATTATCAATATATTTTCAATAATTATTGAAGATTAAACTATTGTTATTTATCATAGATGAGACTATTAATTTAGTTGAAATTCTGAGTGTTCATGAATTGGTTCGGTTTGGCCGTAGGTTATTTGGCCAACCAAATTGATCTAGTCAGGTTGGGGAGTTGGTCAGCTAAAACTGACTAACCTTTTTGTGAAAACCGACCCACTCAAGTTGTATCGGTTTGGGTCGATTTTTTTGTTTGGTCAGTCGGTTCAAAAGATTTAAACTTAAAAATTTAATTTAATTTTAAAAATTATAATGCAATTATATAAAAAATAAATTAAAAAATAGATTTATGATATAAAACATTTTAGACTAAGAAATATGGAAAATTTTCCACTTTTCCATATTAAAATTTATATTTAAAATATAAAATATTAATATAAATCCATGGTTAGACCATTCGATTTTGGTTGGTTTACAAATGGCCAAAGTGAAATTGATCCAACTTGGTCGAATTGGGAAATTTTTTAACCAAAGCGGACCTAAAATACTAGAAAACCAACCAACTCGGGTCGAGTTGATCGGGTTGGTCGATTTCATCAGTTTGATGAATAAACCTAATTGAAATTAATTAATGTTATTTTTGTATTATAAAAAATTATTAAAAGTAGTATATAAAATATGAATAATTATTAATTATTTAAAAAGTTAAAAATATAAAACAATTGTATACTCTTATGTGATTCTATTAGGGTCATTTTCTAGAACACATCTTATGGTTTTATATATTTACTTAAACATACCTTATATTTTTCATTTTATTAAAACACCCATATATTTTACAACTTATTTACTTAATCAACCTTTCATTAAGAAGTGTTTTTTTGCCATTAGGCCCATGATTTTTTATTCCAAAAATACCCTTAACACTTTTTTTTGTATAGAAAACAAAATTAACCAAATATATCCAATAGAGTGGTTGCCCGTGTCTTATAAAGGGAAAAATGGTATTTTATTTTTGTTTTCTTTTAATTAAATTTATTTAAATGAACATTAGGATCAACACTGTCATCTAATGGAAGATTGATTAAATCCATTTTAAATTATAAGTGGTGTTTTAATAAAATTTTAGTTACAGAGTATATTTTAATAAATCCATGAAACTATAAGAAATATTTTAGTAAATGACCATTTTTATTATTTAGCTTTCACATAATAAATCTGGTGCCCCAATATATATATATATATATATATATAGCTGGTAATTTGGGAATATACAAAGCTACCTTCTTGAAAGGTGTGGATGCTTACTTCTACAACTGTCCATTCTTTTACTATTATTATCTTATCCTGGTGTAGGCTTTAGACCTTTAGTCTGATTAAAATACTTGTTCTTTTTCTTTCTGTAATCTTCTCTGTGAAATGACGCAGTTGCTACATGTTCAAGCAGTTGTCTAGATTCAACAACGTTCAATTTTTCATTTATAAAAGCTTGATGATCTATATATGATCTACCACAGACTGACAGCTTCCTCAGCTCGCATGGGGTTTGGACTAGACCTGTTCATGGGCCGGGGAGTCCGACGGCCCGGCCCGCACCTCGGCCGGGCTTGGTTATATAATTAGGCCTACGGGCCTGACCTCAGGCTTAACACAGTAAGCCCGATTGTGTTTCGGGCCGGGCTCGGGATTTGTCAAAAAGCCCGGCCCGAGTCCGGTCCAGCCTAACTCAGTATTATATATTTTATAAAATATATAAATAATATAATATTTATTAAAATATATATTTATAATTTAATATATATATATATATATATTTTATTCTTTTCTTTATAATTTCAATCAATGTCTCTCTCTATTTAGCTGCTTCAACATTAATAATAATAGTATAGGCTAAATTTCGGGCCCGGGCCCGGGCCCAGGCTCGAGATTCGAGCTTTTTATGAGGGCCGGGCTCGGGCCCAAGTTGTAGGTCCAATGGTCGGGCCGGGCTCGGGCTCGGGCCTTAAAAAAATTTGTTAATACACAGTAAAAGCTCGGCCCGAGCCTGGCCCGGCCCGGCCCATAAACAGGTCTAGTTTGGACTCAGTCAGACAAAAGTTAATCTACATTTTCCCGGGAACTTTCCTTGGTTCAATCCAAAGTAGCAACGACAAATAACATAAAAGGTGTTAAATGCCACATGGCAAACATGGCGTTCAGCAATCCCCACCTCCCCACTTCCTTTTATCTGTTTGCCCTCCAGACCCCAACTAGCGCAAAGGACGAAAGATAAACAGATCATTAATTAGTGTAAATATAAAATCCAATCGTCAATCAAATCCTAATTGTTTCCGCGTTGAT